AAGTGCTTTAAGTCCTCTTCACTTTCAGCAAGCAAGGTTGTGTCATCTGCATATCTTAGGTTGTTAATGAGTCTTCCTCCAGTCCTGATACCCCATCCTTCTTCATATAGTTCACCTTCTCGGATTGTTTGCTCAGCATACAGATTGAATAGGTATGGTGAAAGGATACAAGCCTGATGCACACCTTTCCTGACTTTAAACCACAAAGTATCCCCTTGTTCTGTTCAAACAACTGCCTCTTGATCTATGTACAGGTTCCACATGAGCATAATTAAGTGTTCTGGAATTCCCGTTCTTTGCAATGTTATCCACAATTTTTATGATCCACACAGTCGAATGCCTCTGCATAGTCAATAAAACACAGGTAAACATCTTTCTGGTATTCTCTGCTTTCAGCCAAGATCCATCTGACATCAGCAGTGATATCCCTGATTCCATGTCCTCTTCTGAATACGGCCAGAATTTCTGGTAGTTTCCTGTCAATATATTGTTGCTGCTGCTTTTGAATGATCTTCAGCAAAATTTTACTTGTTTGTGATATTAATGATATAGTTAGGTAATTTCCGCATTTGGTTGGATCACCTTTCTTGGGAATAGGCATAAATATGGATCTCTGCCAGTCAGTTGGCCAGGTAGCTATCTTCCAAATTTCTTGGCATAGATGAGTGAGCACTTCCAGCCCTGCATCCATTTGTTGAAACATCTCAATTGATATTCTGTCAATTCCTGGAGCCTTGTTTTTCACCAATGCCTTCAGTGCAGGTTGGACTTCTTCCTTCAGTACGATCAGTTCCTGATAGTATGCTACCTTCTGAAATGGTTGAAGGTCGATCAATTCTTTTTGGTATAATGACTCTGTGTATTCCTTCCATCTTCTTTTGATGCTTTCTGCATCGTTTAATTTTTTCCCCATAGAATCCTTCACTATTGCAGCTGGAGGCTTGAATTTTTTCTTCAGTTCTTTCAGCTTGAGAAATACCCAGCATGTTCTTCCCTTTTGGTTTTCTATCTCCAGCTCTTTGCACATGTCATTATAATACTTTGTCTTGTTGAGCCGCCTTTGAAATCTTCTTTTCAGTTCTTATACTTCATCATTTCTTCCTTTTGCTTTTGCTACTCGATGTTCAAGAGCAAGTTTCAGAGTCTCTTCTGACATCCATTTTGATCTTTTCTGTCTCCTTAATGACCTCTTGCTTTCTTCATGTATGATGTTCTTGATGTCGTTCTACAACTCGTCTGGTCTTCAGTTATTAGTGTTCAACGCATCAAATCTATTCTTGAGATGGTCTCTAAATTTAGGTGGGATATACTCAGGGTCCTACTTTGGCTTTCATAGACTTGTTCTAATTTTCTTCAATTTCAACTTGAACTTGCATATGAGCAATTGTCTGTTCCACAGTTGGCCCCTGGCTTTGTTCTGACTGATGATATTGAGCTTTTCCATCGTCTCTTTCCACAAACGTAATTTGATTCCTGTGTGTTCCATCTGGCGAGGTCCCCCTGTACAGTTGCTGTCTACGTTGGTGAAAAAAGGTATTTGCAATGAAGAAGTCGTTGGTTTTGCAAAATTCTATCATGCGGATCACCAGCATCATTTCTATCACCAAGGCCATATTTTCCAACTCCCGATCCTTCTTCTTTGTTTCCAACTTTCACATTCCAATCACCAGTAATGATCAATGCATCCTGATTGCATGTTCGATCAATTTCAGACTGCAGACGTTGGTAAAAATCTTCAATTTCTTCATCTTTGGCCTTAGTGGTTGGTGTGTAAATTTGAATAATAGTCGTATTAACTGGTCTTCCTTGTAGGCATATGGATATTATCCTATCATTGACAGTATTGTACTTCAGGATAGATCTTGAAATGTTCTTTTTGATGATGAATGCAATGCCATTCCTCTTCACATGTCATTCCCAGGATAGTAGACCATATGATTGTCCAAATCAGAACGCCCAATACCAGTCCATTTCATCTGACTAATGCCTAGGATATCGATGTTTATGCATTCCATTTCATTTTTGATGATTTTCAATTTTCCTAGATTCATACTTCGTACATTCCATGTTCCGATTATTAATGTATGTTTGCAGTTGTTTCTTCTCACTTTTTTTTTTTTATTGTACTTCAGGTGAAGGCTTACAGAACAAATATTTTCTCATGAAACAGTAGTACACATGTTGTTTCATATCATTGGTTAACAACCCCACAACATATTAACCCACTAAATTCTCAACCTTTTTTCTTTTTGGTGACAATACTCATAGCCAAAGATACACCGTTTCAAAAATTTCTACATACACAGTTCAGTGACATTGACTACGCTCTTCCAAT